ACTTTATCCTCCAGAGCATAGGCCCTGGGCCTAGACAGTGGGGCCCCAGGTGAGAATCCCAACTTTGCAGTCCTGGTGGCTCCTCCCAGGAGGGCAGCCTCTGCACCCAGTCTTCAGCCCAGAGCTAGACCCTGGAAGGAAGCAGACCATTTATGGGGTTGGGAAGGGATCTAGCACCTGAGTAAAAGTTCATTTCTGAAAACTTGGACTGGACCAAGGATCAGAATCTTGCAGGATCTGATGTCGGCTAAGGATCCTAGAGGGGTGCCTGCAACCCCTCCTACCACCTTCAGACTTCAGCAAAGGTAGCCACCTGCGGGCCCTGTGCTGGGGCTGACTCTCCTCTCATAAAGGTGGTGACCTCCAGCTACAAGCTTCTCGGGCCATCGAGATGACTGTGACAGCAGCAGTCAATGGGTCTGTGCTGCACTTGACCTTCCAAGCACACCTGCTACTAACCTCTGGAGTATGCTTCCCTCTCAACGTGTCCCCCTCCCTCATGGGTAGGCACGGTTAGTTTTGTTCCCATTCCAGTGATGAGGAACCAGGCTCAGAGAGGTTAAATATGAGTGCGAACACACTCAGCCAAGAGTTTCAGCCAACAATCACTGTGGGTTCCTGTGAACATGGGTGATCCCCAAAGTTCCCAGCCAGGACCTCATCTCTGTCTGTACCTTGGCCTCCAGTACATCCCCACCTCACCCTCTTCTCCTCTTGTGACTTCAGGTGTCCAGAGGAATAGGGACAAGGGATCCAGGTTCTCCCTCATGCAGCATCTCAAATTCTTCAAGGCCAAGACTGAGCAATCTTCTTCTTCCTCAGCCGTGCCTTCCCTCTAAATCTCTGTCCCACATGTCCACACCCCCTGGCGGCCCTCGGGGATCCCTCACTGCTCACACCAAAGGTGCCAAGAACGGGGACCTCTCAGTCTTTTCTCTCTGCTGCTCCTGGGAGGAGGCAGTGCACCAGCTCCTCCCTAGCGCATAGGCCACATCACTTCTGAAAAGTACAAACCAACTTTAGGAAAGTAAAAATTAACTCAACCTTGACCAGACGATGCCACTTAGGGGAAAGGGAAACTTGACGTGGAAAAACAAAACTGGTATATAACACCAAACGCCCCTGGTTAGGGGAGAACGGTGACCTGGATTTGTGACCCAGGTGTAGGTCACCAGAGGCAATAAAACTCTCGTTTTAAAATTTCTTGTGGCTGGCTGGTTAAATCGCTAGTTTCCCCCACAGGTCTTCTCTGACCTAGCAACTCCCCTGAGCTAAAGCAAGCTGATAGAATAGCATCCTGGCTGTGTAAAATTTGAAGGTAGAGTTCCACTCTGGAAGCAACAGGCTGATGTGAATGAGAGAGATCAGAAGGAAAGAATCAGCAAAAGGCTTGCGTGGTATAGGTTCTTATCCTTTCTGCTGTTTTGTAGACAAAGAAGCCTTTTGGTGCCGTCTTGAATTATTGACCATTTGCAGCAACAAATGAAGGGATGTGGTTTCTGTTAGGTACAATAGTGATGACCCACTAAAGAAAATAGCCAGCCTGATTTTAGCACTCAGGGCAGGACCTCCTGGAGTAACTCCAAAGGAGAGTTCGAGTAAAGTCTATCAAACTTGGTCTTTAACACATAAGGTTAGGGGGATTAATGGGATGGCAGAGTTCCATGCCCATAGCATGACTAATGTTCTCTTGTGGCCAAATAGTGACCTAGCAGGTGGGCTGGGTGTACCATGTCCTAGCAGAGTGGGCTTTGTTCCCTGGGCTCAAGTGGCTGGAATCTGAGCAGCTGGTGGGGGGCTGGTGGGAGAGGGGGTCAGACCTATCAGTTTCTACTTATTAAAAAAGTAACGTGTCAAAAAACTGCTGTGTCCTTGCTTTTTTCCCTTTTCCTGCACTCTTTTTATTCATGAGCATAGACTTTATTCATGATCACAGAAGCCTCGTATGCTGAAAAGGGAAAATTTCTATGACTGTGTCGCAGGATGAGAAAAATGACATCATGGTGTAGTACAGATAGTATAGATAAATCTTCCATTTGATAAGGGCATTTCATCTTAAACTGAATAGTTCCCATTAAAAACCTGGAGAAGATGTTGTGTCATAAGAAAGTAAATAAAATCTCTTTGTTATTCCTAGTGCCAAAAGTAGAGAAAAATCACTCGTTTTCACTAGGAGCTCACGATGTTGATTCTGTTCAAGATGCTGGGTTGGTGCTAGTCTAGTCTTCATTTAGGATTATGGTCACTGCACACAGTAGTTAGGTAAATTTGAATATAATCCATTCTTCTTCTTTGCATTTATTCAATACAAAGAAGAAGTAAAAGATTTTGATGCTTAGTCGGATGTGGTGGCACACACCTATAATCCCAGCACTCGGGAGGCTGAGGCAGGAGGATTGCTTCAGGTTTGAGTCCAGCCTGGGCTACATAGTGAGTTCCAGGTCAGTGTCAACTACATAGTGAGACCCTGTCTCAAAAAAACAAAACAAAACAAAACAAAAAGATTTTTGATGCTTGAGGTGTCTATAGTAGCATGATTAATATTGATATAATAGTCTTTGAGTATGATTAAAAAATACTTCCTACCAAAGTATCAGAGTTTTCTGTATTTACTATCACATTTCTATGGTTGATTAAAATTAACTATTTAAAAAATTGTAGTTGACAGTCCTGAAGACAATAGCTTAACCAAGCAGAATTTCATATATGTCTTATTTTCTCATTGCTGAGACAAAATACCAGAAGTTAAAGGATGACAAGGTTTATTTCAGCTCACAGTTTATAGAGGAGTCCATAGTTGGCTGGTTCCAGTGGAAAGCATCATGGCAAAGGAGCCTCACAGAGGATAACAGTCCATGGCAGAGCAGGCAGGAGGCAACAGGAGCAGCAGCAAACTTCTCTTTCCCTTTTATCCCACCTGGGCTGCAAGCCTTTTGGGTGGTAGGGCTTCTATTTTCTTTGACCAGATCTATGCTATATCAATGTAGTTATCACATACTCTTGATCCCAGTATCACACATCACTATCCAGTATCACACTCCATGATCTAAGTACCCCCCAAAAGCCCCAACTGTGAGCTCATCTGGCTTAGGGGGACATAAAAGTATACTTTAAAAAAATTGTGTTAACTATTGAGGAAGTACAAAGAAAAGAATATTTGTTGAGTGTTCTACTTTTGGCTAGACACCACACATTATGTGCTTAACATGTTATTTCTTTTGACCATCCTAGCAGGTTTGCAAAGTGTTGGTGCTTTTACAACTGTTTTTAGGATAGGAAACTGTCACCCAGGGAAGCTGATTAATTAACCCATGTGTCCTTAACAACCAGTAGGCCCATGGTTTGACTGTCAGCCTCAAGTTCAGTGCACTCATCCATCAAACCCTGTATTTTCTGCCCACTCTCCACTTTTCATATTACTGGAATTCACCATTACACCCACCATTTTGTATTTGTATACATTTGCCATACCTAAGTACATTCACTGCGGGGAAGTTGTACATGTACCTGTGGTATCCTGATCTTGATTTCCCTTCCCCTGCCATCTTTCGCTGATCTCAGACCCCCTTCCCGTCACAACAAAGTCTATTTCCCTCTTTCCTATTGTCTATCTTTTATTTTGCTCTTAATACTTTGGGTTTTTTATATAATAGAGGCCATGCAATATTTAAATTTCTGTGTCTGATTTAACTTAGCATTAGTTTCTCAAAGTGGATCCATTGTCCTATAAATGACTCACAATTAACCTCCCAGGAGTACTACATCGTGTATACAGGCCACATTTTCTTTATCCATTCATTTTTTGATGGGCATATAGACTGTTTCCAAGATTTAGCTATTGTGAGATGTGCTGCTATAAACATTTTTCTTTTCTCATCTTATTTACTGCTACCAATTTCTCTCTGAAACTGCTTCAACCTTATAAAATTATGCTCTAATCCTACTTTTATTTCACTGAAATAGTCACTGCAGTGAATCAAATTGTATTAAAATTCACAGTAAGGAATGTTCTTATTAATGCATCTGAGAGACTTCATTTTATAGACTTTTATAGACTTGATAGTCTATAAAATCATCAGGATTAGAGAAGATGAAGAGTTAGCTTGGAATTCTGCGGTGCTGTCTATCATTCTTTGGGAAGTACTCACTGAGATACATCTGAATATAAAAAAAAGATGACATCTCTACGTTAGCACCTTTGCTTATACTTATTGGGTAGCCTGCTTTGAAAAGTGGCTCACCAACTAAATGTTACCAGGTTCTGGTTGCTCGCCTCTCCTGGAGTTAGATTTCAGGTTCTTCTCAAAGAATTGGACTAGAGAAGCCAAAAACAGTGCCAAAAGTTTATTTGAAAGCTTATGGGAGAAATCAGCTCTGCAGAGTGAACCTGGGCAGAACAAGAGAAAAGGCAGCTAAAACCAAAAATAGAAGTATACCCACTGTATCAGGGAAATGCAGCATGGGTTACTGTGGGAAGTCACCATAGCAAGCTCTCTTCCTGGTTTGCCTCTCCTTTTATACTGTTTGAATCTAGAGGAAACCCACAAGAACTTCTACATACAGGTCCTGAGAGGTGGTGCTAGAATCCCATACACCTCAGCTGACCCGCTGGGCCCTGGGAACTGTTCTGGGCGTGTGTCCGAGACCTGTAAGTGACAGGTCACATCTACTTCCCTAGCCAGCTTTGCCATGCCCTACTCTCTCACCTCACTTAGGAGGAATAATTTACTCACTTTTAATATGTATCAAAGTGAGCATGTATTACTACCTATGTTTCTGCTGCATAATACAGTAAATTCTTTAGAAGTCAGAACTTTTGTAGGATTCATTTAATGGAAAGCCCATTAGCACAGTGCAAGAAATGAAGGCTAAGACATCACAAGGAATTGTGGGTTGTGAAGTTAAGTGTATCTAAAATCTTCCGAATCTTGAGAAGATCATGCCTTGGACTGGAAAGTATTATGTTTGGATTTCAAATATAATAGATCTATAGGGAACATTTCAGGAGACGGAAAATCATGAAGAATTATAACTATGTCAGATTATAATAACTGCTGTCTTCACAGTGTTTTAACAAGTAGAAGTATGTTGAAAACTGAAACCTAATTATTGTTTCTTAATGTCAGTGATACATGTAGTATATAATATAAAACAAGAAAGACTATTTTCAGGGGACTCCTGGGGACTTCTTTCCAGATGCCTGGTGTCCTGAAGAAGGAATTTGACGAAACACACAGAAAAGGCAGTGAGGTGGTTGTTGATTTATTGAAGGCAAACTCCTCGGGGTGGGAGCGGGCAGGTGAAAAAGGCTCACAGAGGCCCCAGGAAAAAAGGGAAAGGGATCTTTAGTATCAAACTACCTCGACTGGTCCCACCTCATGTAAATGTGGCACACGGCAGCAAACCATGACTGGAATGTCGGAAAAGCTGTGCATGTGATATATTTTGTATCAGCGAATAAGGGCTGACTAGAACTCTTTTCCTTTTTTTTTTTTCAGTGCTGGGGATCAAACTCAGGGCCTGGTTCATGCTGGGCAAACTCTACAACTTCAACAAGAATATCCACCCAACAATGCTGTTTGGTGGTAGGCTGGCTCCTTTATTCTCAGCACATTGACAATGACAAATCTGTTCACTCTTTTTGTGTAGAACCAGTCTCTGATCCCTACCAGTCTCTCCTCACTCCCAGCTGGACTCCTCCACTTTCTGTCCCAAGTGAATGTTCTATTCACTCCCATCCTTTCTGAGGCACCCTATACTGTGTTGGCTTCGTATTCCACTGCTGGTTCAATAGTGTGCTGTTTAATTGCCATATGTTTAAGAGAATTTTTGTAGATTCTTTTCCTTTTGGTTTCTCTTCCGCACCATGATCTGATAATATGCAAGAAATTATTCTTTTTTAATGCAACAGGAGTTGCTTTGTGGACTAATACATGATCTGTTTTGGAAAAGTTCTTTATGGCCAAATAAGTCTGTGGGAAGCTGACTATGTCTATAAGACGTTTTGCTTGTGTGGCCCGGTGGCAGAACCTCCAAGCTGAGAGTGGAGACATCTCTGGCTGCGGCTCTGCTGCCACTAGAGGGGAGTGGGAGTCACATCGCCTGGGCAGAGGGGAAGGAAGGAGCACCCATGAGCCAACGGGAGACCCCAGGAGGAGAGGCTCCGGGGAGGTGTGGTGTCCATGTCAGTGACCCAGAAGTCAGTTGTGCTGGCTGAGGCTCTGTCACTCTGGGCAGAGGCAGGAATTGAAAGACTGGTGAAGTATGGGGCACCAGGATCTGCTCTGGGAGAGCTGCTCGGTGAAGTGACAGGAGCTTCTACGCACATTGGGGACGACGGAGAGTTCGTCCTGTAGGTGCTGGGGACAGCCGGGAAGGCAGACCCGACACCTGCTGCTACTCTTTCAGAAACTCTGGGGCTCCACGGGCCGGGCTCCTCCCCATTTGTAGGGGACCCCTGGGTGTACTCCTGCCTTTCCTTCTGGTGGAAAAGGGCTTCGCCAGCGGAAGGCACAGGCACGGCAGGAGTTATTGTCCTGAGGTCACCCTTACAGGCAGCAGGAGACAGAACAGCTGTCAAGGAGGAGCCTGAGGCTGTGGCCGTGGAATGCAAGGAGGAGCCCGGAAGGGCTTCTGAGGAGGAGGGGCAGGCAGCCGAGGTGCTGCGCTTCCTTCCACACCCAGGATGCAGGGAGCTGGTCACAGCAGCAGATGCCTGGAGGGCCCCTGGGCCCAGGGAGTCCTGCTCCATTACGTGCTCCCTTTTCTCTGCCTCTTTGCAGGGCACTGTAGGGACACTAGGTGAAGGAGCAGTTCCAGAGGCAGGCAGGGGAGGAGAGCAGGAAGGCTGTGTGGTGTTGCTGACCTTGGGAGCCTGTGACTTACCCATCAGCGTGCTGTTGATGCGCTGCAATGCTGCCTCCTTCTCCCGGCCTATGTGCTCAGCAGTGACTCGATAACTCAGTTTGGGAGGTGGCGGCAGAAGCAGGGGGTCCCCTCGCCTGTGTTGTAGCAGAGGAATCTTGCGTTTTCCTGACCCAGCACTGTCTGTAGTGTGCACCCAGTTGCTCCAGGATTTTGTCTGCCTTGGTGCTGCATCTGCCGTCTTCTCATACTTGGTCTCCTTGGAAATTTCTGGGACTGAACACAGAGACTGGAAGCCATTCTCTGCTGGCTCCTTAGAGGACTTGGGGAACAGCCTGGTGCGGGTTGTGGCCCGACCCCTCCTGCGTGGTCCTGGAAATCCTCCAGTGGAGCTGTATGAGCTGCTGATGGCATTTCGCTGAGTAAACAAGTTCACACGGGAGGGCTGCGGGCAGGGTTCCGCTTTGTCTCTGGAGCTCTGGCCATGAAACTTTCTAGGCAGAGGCCCAGGCCTTGGGACAAAAGGAATCAGGCCTGCCTGGCCCACTATGGGCTTAAATGCAGATAGTAGCCGACCCCCGATACCGTCAGGGACCCTCCTGTGGTGGGCCTGCTGTTCCCTAACTGTGGTCTCTTTCCAGTTTTCTGCTGTGGTTATCATCATTTTCACTGTCAGGCAATGGGCACAAGTATGTTTGGGGACTTGGACGGGGGTGACTTCCTTCTCCTAGGCAATCAGTTTGCTCAGTACTGTGGGCTGAGCTCCAAGGTGTCTAGTAACCGTCCACAGAGAGCACCGGCTTTTTCTGAAGACAGGCCTGCAGACTGGGCATGAATCCCTCAGCAAGGAAAAACGGGGTCTTCAGGGTCCAGGAGCAGCATTTTGGAGATGCTTTTCCAAACTGCTCCTGTAAAGCCCAAGATGCTTGTGGGATGACTGGCAAGTTGATCCTCAGATGGGAGGCTGGATGGGGTGCGCCTCCCTGAGGTGCTGCTGGTCAGGTATGGTGAGGGCCCCGAGCAGTTGGGTCCTTGGGGAAGGTTCTCTTCCAGGGAGACACAGGGGGACAAAGCTTGCCCCAGAAACTACTCACAGGAGCACTCAGGACATGCAGAATCCTTGTCTTCCAGAAGCCAGGAGGAGCATTATACCACTTGGAGATGTTGACTCATCCACAGGTGAAGTGGCAGTGAAAATTTGTTGCTGGGACAGGAGGAAGCACAGGAGGGAAGGAGGAATGCAGGCACGTGGGCAAACCTTAAAGAGCCACTGGTGTTTGCAATGCACCTGGGAGGAAGGGCCATTCATGGAAGTTATGGGCGGGAGCCAAAGCTGCTGGAGGGAGAGCCTGTGCAAAAAAGCTGTGAATCTGTCCCTTGGACCTACTAAGGTTTTATGAGCTCTTCTTTAGGCTTGAGGGTGATAGGTCTGAAGAGGAATGAGCTATAGCAATCACAGTTGTCCCTCAGCCCTGCTGACAGCCTCAGGTACTGTGGGAGGCTCCGTCAGGGATGGTTCCTCGCCCGCAGAGTGGGAGACAGCTGGGGAATTCAGGGTTCTTACCGGAGCAGCTCGGGCATGACCTGAAAGTGTCTGGATCAGTATGGGCCCCTCTTCTTGCCCTCTGCCTGGGAACTTGGTGAGGAAAGCTGCCAGGAAAGAAGCCCTGGTCCTCCCCAGGGTCTGCTGGGTAGATGGTGAGGTATAGACCAGGACGGGCAGAGAAATGGCTCTGGACCTATGACCCACAATCCCATTCCTAGGCATTTTACCAGGACAAATTTAGGTTGTGTGCTCACAGAAACCTGTGTTTGAATGTTCTCAGTTCTTCATTCACAGCTTCTAAGTACTGAGGTCATTGCATTTTTCTTGAATCAGGTTATCATTGTGTTTTGGTCATTCCGGAAATAATACTAGGTGCCCCAATCCTTTCATGGTCAGATTAGGGTTAATATTTTACAATCCAAATTCCATTTATGTAGATTCTAAATAAAGCACAGAAGCCTTCCAGACATATGAATTATTTCTCCTGTGTTTATGAAATCTGTGTCTCATATGTGACCTTTATAAGAACGGCATAACTTGTGTATTCAAGTGCATCACATATAATAAAGAACTTTAATGGGAAAAAAATAAACTATCATGTTTATCCACAAACCATTCATTTGGTTTTCTTTCTTTTTTCTTGAAGTTACATCCTTCTCCTGCTATTTACCTTCGTGCTGAAGAAATTCCTTTCACACAGTTTTACAGCATGAGCTATGTGATGAGCTGTCCGAGCTTTCTTTCACTCCCTTTCATCTCTGTATTTATGTAGTTTGCCTCTCCATCTTTAAGGATTCCTGGGCCACTGATAGTCTCCTGGGATGATCTTTTCTGTCAGCGCTGACAAACATTCTTTCAACCGCTTCTGGCTGCTATGTTTCGGGAAGAGAAGTAACAGACCTTCGCTCTTCCTTTAAAATGCTGTTTTCTCTAACCACTTTCAAGGGTTTTCTTCGCGTTTCCTGTTCATGGGATGGAGCCTGTGTCAGGCTCGTGCGCCTGGGACTCAGTGCTACAGATGCTGGAGCACAGCATGTAGGGTGGGACAGGAACAAGGCTGCGGCCAAGAGGACCCCAGCACCAACAAGCACGATGAGTGTTGTTTCTGGGGCGGTGGTAGGGCGGACCTTCAGAGGGCCCCGCAGGGGGTCCTTCAGGCCCGGAGAGTCCCAGAGGCAAAGTCGCATTGCAGCACGGACATTACAGGGCCAGCAGTTCACTGACATGAGGGACTCTGGTGGGGCATTGTCTCCTGTGCAAACCAAGACAGAATAACTCGGGTACCTCTTCCTCAGAAAATCCACGGCAGAGGGTTTGCAACCCCTCAGCTGACGATTCAGGAGGGGATGGAGAAGGATCCAGAGTGCAGGGCAGGTTGGAAAAGCTGAAGAGCAGCAGGTGCAGCGTGCAGGTGGAAGCCTGTGGATTGTCTGCGGCAGGGGAGGGGACGAGAGAGGCGTGGGGTGCGGGGTCAGATCCAGCGCTGGTGCTTCAGGAGGCGGCGCTCTCAGGAGTCTCCACCATGGTCTGGGTTCTGCTCCTTCTCAAACTCCTTCCTCAGAAGAAATTCACTTTAGTGTTCTCTTGTGTTTGGCCCCACATTCAAGGGGCTGAGCCCGTGAATCTGGGTTCTGCGGTCTCTGTGACCTGTAGGAATCACCCTTCCCTTAGATCGCAGAACCCCTGGCTGGATGGGCCCTCTTGGCACTGTTTCCTGTGCAAACCACTGTTGGGAGTGCTGGGAACGGCTCTTTGCTCCACAGGGCAGAACTATTTGGTGGTCGGTCCCCAGTTCCTATCACCCCCAAGCATGCCCTATGCTTACGCTGACCATAGTGTATTCCGGCCTTCTTTCCATTTAATCTAATCTGAGAATTAATTTTAAACATAGACATGAGGTTTTTTTGGCCAATACTTAACATTTTCAGAAGTTCTGTCATCTTTTTCAAAGTCACAGTGCCTAATTCCTGTGTCTGCAGAATTTCTTTTAGTTTCCACACATTTTTCAAAGCCTTCTGCTCATATATTTTACCTTTTCAGTTCAAATTGTATGGTGTTTTAAGTTTATTTCCTCTACACATAAGTGTGTAGAAATGGATTTTTGTATACCGTTACATTTCTTTTCTTTGACTTGAATGGTCATTACTCATTTTGATCAGGAATGAGATTAGACTCTATCCCAAAACTGTGTCCTTGTGGAAAAACACGCTGAGGTCAGGAGCTCCAAGGGCCAAGTCACTATTTCCATGGATGGGAATATGACACAGGACGGCACACAGATGGAAGCTGAGGTCACCTCAATGTTCAGAGGTCAGGAGGAAGAATAATTCCATGTTCCATGGGCCACACAGACCCACCCTGCTGAGTGGTCCTTGGATATAGGCCCTTGGAGAAATGCTGAAAATTTAAAGTTTGATTCATACAGTCAGTGACTAGAAAACCAGAATATCCCCAAATGTTTTACCACATTGATCACAAGAAAGAATGGTATAGGCTACTAAACCACACAGCCAATCTCATGAATGTTTAAGCATTGCCGTGGCTTATCACCATTTTAATATTATCTCAAAATTTGCACATTTTTATCTAAACTTGTGTCTAAAATTATAGAGCACATAAATATTTAAAGGTCACAGGAGGAACAGTAGCCTCAAGTGCAAAATGAGCACCTCCTCAAGTTTCCCGTTTCTTTGTGCCCGACCCCTGAGACCCTCACTCACCCCCTTGCCAGATGGTCAGACTCAGCTTTCTTGTGCTCTTGGAAACACGTGTCACGTGATGAGAAAACCCACACTGGAATAGTTACTTCGCTACGTTTATGATCACAGACCTTCGCGTCCGTCTCACGAGGGGCTATTTCCATTTTTAATCTGGCAAACACCAAGTCAGCCCAGATTAGTACCTATTCCCCCGTCTGTCTCTTTCTAAGAAAACACAGGAGAAAGCACAGGAGCTCAGCATCTCTGCGGATAGGGAGACCTTGCCTCGGGGCGGTGCACAGATGGGAGCTGAGGTCACCCCAGTGTGCACAAAGGACAGAAGGAAGAAAAATTCCATGTTCCTTGTGACACACAGGTCCACCCTGCTGAGAAGTCCCTGGAGCTGGGCCCTTGGAGCTCCCGACCTCAGGCCCTCCTGCCACATGGGATTCTCCTGATTTTCGTTAGCTCTTCACACACCTGCTGAGCTCTTTCTCTTTTGTGTAATATGTTTCTTCCAGCATTTTGAAGAAGCCACATTTTTCTTTTTTTAGAGGTTTTGTGGGGGGTGCCAGGGAGCAAACTCGGGACCTTCCACTTGTAAGACAAGCACTGCACCACTAAGCTGAATCCCTGGACCCGCTCTACACACATTTTTCTCACCCATCAACCTTCTGGCTATATATCAGTTATGTTCCTGCACCCCTGAGCCAAGAGCTGCCTTTTGTACAGAACTCTGTGAGAAGGCCTTCAGGCCCAGGGGAACTGGCATCGAGGAAGAAGGGACCACTTGTAACTGAGACGCACTCCATACGGGAGACCGGGAGCACAGAGGGGATGGGAAGGGACAAGGGGTCCGGCACTGAGCTGGGAAGGGAAACTGGGAGAGGTAAGGGGAACTGAGTGCAGGGATTTTAGGCTTGAACTCAGGGGTTTTATGTGAATTGGAAGAGGGGAGCAGACACCCTGGACTGAACCACTGTCTGAAACAAGTGGTTGGGGAGAAGCTAGCTGCCTTTCAACAAGGACCTCAACTGGGAAGTCAGAGACCTCTGAGAGTCTCCTGGGTATAGGGAGATGGCAGGCTGTCCAAGGTGTCTTGCAAAGTGAACACAGCAATCCAAAGGACTCCGTACACGTCCCTTTTCTAAGGCTAAGAAAAGAGGTCCATTTTGGCTCAGAATTCTGGAGATCTAATGTCCAGATTTTGCATCTGTTCATGTCCTTTTTGTTGGCAGGGTCCTGGGGTTGCACAGGGTATCATAGGTGAGAGATAGTGACTGAGTCCCTATAGTTTTGTCTCTCTGGTCTCTCACCCTCTTCTTGTGAATAAAGGGGGCTCCAGCCCAAAGACTTCCATCTCTGAACACTGGGATGGGGTTGTTTCCACCCATTACCGCAAAATGGGGGCTGAATTTGCACCCATGATACCTTGAGGGAAGTCCAAAACATAAGCAAACCAAAGGTACCGTGAGAAGTAAAATTCACAGGTGGGCTAAACCCCTTGAGAAAATACATGAAACCATTAGCTGTAATGTGCTTTCAGAATGTATGGAATAATTTTTAAATAAACTCTGCTTTTATGACACAACTGTGTGAGAAAAAAGAAACTCTAAATGTGATTTTTACTTCTGTTCAGACTATTAGCTTTTTATTAATTAAAATATCGTTTCAAAATAAAATCTTTTTTCCCCTTCCCTCACCTCACCTTAGGCAGCTCCCAGCCCCCACAAGACTCCAGGATGCTCATGGTACAGTGAAGTTCATCGTTGCATTAGGTGGGCGCTGCCAGTGACTGGAAAAATGGAAAAATGCTGCCTCCCCGCCACCCGAGTTCCACTCAGTAGTATTTATGCTTAGAAGCATAATTTGGTCAAATCCTGATATTTGCTCCTTTGTCACAATCCGTAGTGACCACCTCCTCACTTCTCCATCCCTAGCTCCAGGGTGACAATGGAAGAATGTCTGCAAGACAGTGGGCCCTCCGCTCTGCTGGATGGGGCCTGCTCTGGCCTGACAATCAGTCACGGGTCATGGGCCCATTGGCAGGGGTTCCCCTGCACGGGCCTCCAAAGAGGACACAGCTTGCAATAGGTACGGGCCCCTCTTATCTTCAGTTGTACCCCAGGACTCCCGCCAGGTCTGCTGAGTGGTCTGTGCACTAGAGCTCTCGAAACAGCAAAGCAGGAGAGTTTCTACCCTATTACAGACTCCTGTGTTAGCTGAGAAGTATAACTTCTACATCTTCCTCTAGCTAGAAGCATGCTCAGAAGTAAAAGAATGTGCGCTTTCCTTTGCTCCTGTTAGGTCTCGAACTGCTCCCACAGGTTTCCCTGTCTATACGTGACGTGTGCAGCTCAGAGCTCGGTCTGCCGACAGCCAGCGTGGGTACTGCCTGAGCACCAGCTGGAAACACTTGTCAGAATGTGCATTTGAACATGGTCCCTGCCCGGTGATTCCAGTCTGAGACGCTCTGGTCTACACTGATTCTGCTTCCAAATTTCTTCACCTTTATCTTTTTTTTTTTTTTTTTTTGTACCAGGGATTGAACTCAGGACCTTGTGCTTGCCAGGCAGACAGCGGCATCACTGAGCTAGATCCCCGGTCCTCCCTATAATGGCCCCAAATTGGAACTGCGTGAGAAAGTCATAAACTCGCTAATGGATTTTGTATTAGGCCAGGGCTTTTCTCATCTCTCCAAGACTAATCTTGTTTTTTATTCCAAGTTCTTTTATTTTGGCCTGGATGACCCTGTCAGGTGAAGCAGCACCATCTTATGTGATATGAAACCACAGAATTGAGATGCAGTGTGTGTATAGGTACCAGCTCTCCACAGTGAATATATTCATTTTGAATCATAAACATGTACTAATACAATTTTTAAATAAATGAATGATATGCATTTGTGGTTGACCATACACACGCACACACACACACACACACACACACACAATTGTTATAATATAAATTAAGTAAAACATAGCTCTGCAAGATGAGATAGTTCCATGCCCTTTGACAGGAATACAGGAAGAGAGAAAATATTTCACTCTGTCTCAGATAAACTTTGATACTGGAAGCTCTCTTCCCATGTGTGTATATCTTGCTTTTCTTCTTCGAGAAAAATTCCTTTGCTTCCTGTCTTGCACGCAGCGCCTTTTCTTCATTGATTGCCTGTGCTCCCTGCCTTTCCTGTAATTCTGTTCATATAAATTAATTAATTTTCAGAAGAATTCTTACCTTCTCCATATCCATGTATGGTCTTTTTCCTCTTTCATGTACAGACCCAGATAAATGACTCAATACATGGGTGGAGGACGGTCAGAGACATTTTGTGAAAATTAGCATCCATGAAGAAACACACAAAGATTTCCTAACTGTTTTTGAAAGAGATACCAGAATTTCCTACTTTAAGAACAGTTAGACTATAAGCCAAACCATTCATAGAGTGATCTTCGCATATGTTATCTGCAACAGGCCTGTCTTTTATCTGCAGCAGGAGCTGACCCTGTGCACTGAGCACAGAAAGTCAGAGGATAATGGACTAATGGACAAGCCACTAAGTGATGTATCTATTTCAACAAATCCCCACCTGCAGAACACCTACCTTTATTTTGATTTTCCCAACAAAATTAGAGACATTTCAATGTGTACATATTTAAACAAATTCTTATATGTTCTATAATAGAGCATTAAAACAATTCTAACAAATTATTTTGGGGTTAAAATACGATTTTTAATGTAAGAGGCTTTGGAGTAAGTAATGTTGAGTAAAATTAGAACATTGTAGAAGTGCTTCAATTACATAAAGAATCTACATCTTGGACCAAGGATTTAGCTCAGTGGTCCTGCTGCCTGCCTCATAAGCACAAGGACTCAAGTTTGATCCCCGGTACCAAAAAAAAAAAAAAAAAAGAATGAAAACTCTACATCTTTCTGAGAAAGTTATTCCTGACAGGAAATAGGGATGAATAAAGCACAAAGCAGTATGGCAAACTTTGTAAATGTTATATTGAAACCACAGCATGCATATATGAAACTTTTTGTTGTATGGAAACCATTGCATTAACTGATTCCCAATTTATAAAAGAACTTTTAAAGAGTAAGAAACGCTTTATAAAAAGAGAAGCCTAAGAACTCATATATGAAGAGCCTAAAATGTTCCGAACATTTACCTGCACATTTTCTTTTTTTTCTTTTTTATTAATTTTATTGGTACATTGTAGGTATACAATATGCTGACATTCATTTTTGGGAGTTTGTACCTTTACATAACATATCTTGGTTCTAATTTTTACCCAAACCCTGCCCTCCATTCAACCTCTCCACCCTTCCCTGTTTACAAAGACTTTGTTTCTATTTTTTCCATTTCTCATATTTACTCCTTTCCCCTCTCCCCTTTCCCTACCCCTCCCACTTCCCCTTCGGGCCTTTTCTTCCTATTTCACATTATCTATCATACACGTTGATCCTTATTTATACTTTGTTTCCCACACCAGAGAAAGTGTTCAGTATTTACACGTGTCCTATTTATTTCACTCACGAGTATGGCCTCAGTGCACATTTTCTTTTTTACCCGTCATAATATTGGAAATCGTGAGCACGATAGTCGTTCCGCATTGCACTTCCTGGGCCTTCCGGGATGTCAAGAGTAAGAAGATGGACAGATGTGTGCCGCCGCTCCGTCTTTCTAGGCTTTCACATAGCTGGATGCTTCTGCTCCTGTAATCAGCGTCTTAAACGTCAGGCTCTGAACGATCTGACTACAGGAGCCCACTGGCATTCCCACCCCGTCTTAAGGGCCAGTCCCTCGTTCTCCGATCTATCCTACATCTTTTAAATGTTTGTTTTTCTGGTACTGGGGATCGAACTTGGGTCCCTGTGCTTGAGAGGCAGGCAGCGGAACCATTGAGCTAAATAAATCCCCAGCCCTAGCCTACATTTTTTTTGTAGTGACTTACGAGTGCCTGCTGTTGATATGTTTTTCTCTTCTAACACTACACCATAAACCCTCTTCTGACACGTTCACTATCTCCCTGCCTACCCCATATGAGATTCTCAATCACAGGAATTTAGAGAAGGTCCGAATACTGGACATCAAGGAAGCCTCATGCCCCAAATCAATATACTTTTGTAAGATTTCTCTATTAGCAATTTACAGAAACTTCAATAATTAGTGTTTTACGCGCTGCTGCAACTTCCAATGCTTCGCATTGTTTTTGAGTTAATCCTGCCATTTTTTTCCCCTCAGTTTAAAAGAAAATATTCTCAATATTGAGTTGAATAGCACTGGGCTCATTTGGTCTTAGGTTGGTACACACGTACTGCAGTTCAGAATTCTTTACCGCCTTTGTCCATTCCACACACCTAAAAGGTAGATATTATAAAGTCAGTGACATTCCACTGGATTAAATAATTTCCTCCAAGATTCCCTAGCTAGTAAAGGACAGGATAAGACACCACAAGTCCTTGCAGCTGCTTTTTCCAAAGAGACCAGGTCCTTCCCATCTTTTTCTGAGGTCCCTGAGGCCTGGGGCAAACCAGAAGACCAACCAGGAAGTACAGTAATGGGCCAGAAGTAAAAACAACAAAAAAAAAAATCCAAAGGCTTAACTGGTTGAGCAAGATGCTTTATACAGGAAGAAGAGGCACACAGGACAGGAGACCCAAATGACTCTAGGCTAAAGCATTTGGATACAGCTCACAGAAACAATGAATGTTTTTCTTCACCCATCATTGGAATCTGATGCTGTTCACAGACCAGTCAGAAAACCCTATTTCCGATCTTTTTGGCTTCTTGCTAGATGTAAATGAAAAGTTTTTTAATAGGGCAATTGTCCCAAACCCATATTTACTTGAGGTAGAGCTGCTGTTTTGGGTACTAAAGGCCTCTTTCCCTTTACCAGGACTGTTACAAGCCTTTTCCAGCTGCCCACTCTAGCCCTAAAACGCGTGCCTGCTTTGGCCTCAATAAACCTACACCCTCACTGCCCTTTCTGTGTGTTTTCTCCGATTCTTTGTTCAGGACACTGGGCACCTGGAAAGAACCCACCAAACTCCCATTCAGTAACATTTTTGTATTTGTTACATGAGAAACCCAAAGTACAAACAACTGAAAGAGCAGGGCCGGGGATTTAACTCAGTGGTTCCACCACCTGCCTTGAAAGCACAAGAACTGGAGTTCAATCCCCAGTACCCCCCAAAAAAAAGAAAGAAAAAAAAAGCAAAATTATAGCTACGGGAAACAGGGAGATAGATTTTGTGGGGGCGGAAATCTGGGATCTGGGAGTGGAGAGAGATGGAGAGGAGGAGTAGTAAAAGGGTCAGGATGCGTTATGTCCACATACCAAGTCCCCACTTTTGGAATACTTATGTACTCCATGAAAGGGGTCTCGAGCCCCCTTTGGGTGCCCCTTGCCCAATTATGCCACTGACGCACCGAGAGGTCCGGCAGGAGATCTTTATTGTAGGAAGGCGAGCGGGAGGCAGGAAGGCAGAGAGCGAGAGCGCGAGGAAGTACTGGGATATTTATAGGGCAGGCAACGGAAGATCCTTCCTTGGGAGAAACCGTCTTTGTTATCCTATCGCAAGCCAGGTTGTCTTTTGAATTTCGCGCTTTACACTTTCGGCAGGATAAAGGACTCAGAGTCAGGAAAGAACCCGGAAGTAGGATATAAAATGGCTGGGGGGGGTATATTTTAACATGTGCGATCTCCTAACATTCCAACTGTGTTCTAATGAAAACTAGAGGACCTAGAATGTTGGGTGCAAAAGTGAGTACCTGCAATAAGACATGAAAACTGTTGAGCAGGGAGAAAATACAGAGCTTGGTGAATCACACTGAACCAGGTGGAGAATTCAGGGCTAGAGCTGGGGTTTCCCCAGCAGCACGGAAGGTAAATAGATGTTACTGTAAAGGGGAAAATTCGCAACAGAGGAGATTCCTATGGATTTAGGAAGGAGGATGATACCATGGCAAGGTCTTCAGTTTGGTACGTGTCAAGATTGCGCCTCCTGGAGGACTTAGAACACAAATATGAATAAATATATCGGGAATAAGAGTAGATGACATTATCCAGGAACAAGACTTAAAAAAAGATGAATATTTTAAAATATACCAAACTGGGGTAATCAGGTACTGCAGACATACATAGAACTCTGAAATTTTGAAAATGAGAGCAAAAGGCAGGTAAAATGAGGGGACTCAGTTTTTCCATTCTGCATGTCAATATTTCGTTTCAAGGATTTAATGTTGCAGTTTTTCATTAATATTTACCAGTATATATATTTTTGAACCATGTTCATATGCATTTGAAAGAGTAATGGAAAGGCCTCTTTGCAAAGCAGAAAAATAGTACATCAGCATGCAGCAAGAAGTCTCCATTTCAAAAAAATTCCTAAATGTCCTAAGTCGGGAGACCTGCCTGGCTGTGTACACCTATGTTCCCAGCTACTCAGAGAATCGCCTGAGTGCAGGCATTTGAGGCCAGTGCCAAAAACACAGATCAACACAGTCTCAAAAAGTTCTATGCTGTAGAAGAGAAATGCTTGCATTTATAGCATTAGGCACACTTAGGTTCCAGGGTCCCATAAGAAAGGACTGAAAACGCTGGTTGAAATCCACATGGCTCTGCTTTGCCCTAGAAACTGCATGCTAACTACGTTGTCCTATACCGCATGGAGCCTTGATAAACCTGGATGAACATCTAGTATAAAATCCCTCTCACTGACCATGTTGGAAGTTTCTAAGTTTTCAGATACTTTTCAAATACTGTTCAAATGCTTCTCAATCAGGATCCAATATTTATATAGAGAGCCGAGGGATTAAACAATCAACAGGTTTCTTGAAGAGGAAATAATTGACGTGAGACATTGAACAATTAGGAATATTGGGCTGGGGTTGTAGTTGTACAATAGATACATCCCTCCCTAGTGAGTGCCGAATCCTGGGTGTCTTCCCCAGCTCTTGAAGCACACACACACACACACACACACACACACAGGAAATTCAGCTATGAATACTAAAGCTCATTGTGTTTCCTGAGAACAGTTTGAAATGTCCCCACTTCTGAAGAAATTTTAAGAGGCTATGAGTCATGTCTCAGAGATAATTTCCTTTATGTTGTTGGCAATATTTCTTTCCTATGATTCTGTGATAAGACGTAGTGCATTTTAGATAAGATCCACAAACTATGATTTCATTATTTGGATATGTGTATATGCAAGTCCATCACAAGCAGATATTTTAAGGAGAGAAAACATCAAAATCGACTCAGAAGTAATTGCTACATTTTTATCTTTACACTATAGCTTAAAATTTATTTTTCTCTTGTAATGAATACAGATTTAAAATATTTTTTTCTCATTGAGTTTATTGGTACATTTTAGCTATACAGTACAGTTACACACATCATTTGAGATCTTGTACCTTTACATGACAGGTCTTGGTTCTCATTTTTCCCCTTGTCCCTGCCCTCCCTTCATGCCCTCCTCCTTCCCTATTTACAAAACCTTTGTTTCCATTTCTTTGTTTTCTCATATTTTTTCTTTTCCCTTATTTCCTTTCTAGATTAGAAATCTTTTAGGCATTGTGTGTGTAGTTCGATGGTAGATTGCTCGGCCTTGTACCTTTACATGACAGGTCTTGGTTCTCATTTTTCCCCTTGTCCCTGCCCTCCCTTCATGCCCTCCTCCTTCCCTATTTACAAAACCTTTGTTTCCATTTCTTTGTTTTCTCATATTTTTTCTTTTCCCTTATTTCCTTTCTAGATTAGAAATCTTTTAGGCATTGTGTGTGTAGTTCGATGGTAGATTGCTCGGCATGCATTCCTCTATGTTTAGAGTGTTACTGAAAAAAATCAACATTTTAGGAAATTTACATTAATTGCTTGTTATTTTTTGAGTGCATTTGCATGACGTCTTTGTAAGAATGACCTGTTGATGGGGAAGATGTGACAGTTTCCTTTGCAGTGCTGTCTTATTTCCATAGGCTGAAATTACAAACAGTGTAAGTTGCTTCCACTGAGCGTCAAGTAGTTAATACCAAGTGACTATATAAAGTCAGCTCCCAGGAAAGAGAATGAAAAAATGAGAACGTGTATTGTGGGGAAATTATGGATGAACAGAAGCCACACAAAACCACTAAACAGAAAGATGTGACTGAGTGTGACAACAATGGAAACTGATGGAGTACAGAGCAAACACTGAAGAAAAGCTTCTTGCAAGGAAAAATAAGCTAAGGGTCAATCACTCTGCAAAGGTAAGAGATGAGAAAGAAATGGAGAGATAGAGAGAGAGAGAGAGAGAGAGGGAGAGAGGGAATCAGTCAAGAGGCTCAGTGGATTTAATATGAGCTTACGACAAGGGAGAAAAAGAAAAGCATTCAGAGCAAGATATGAATAGAAAAGAACAGAGACTTTTGTTCCTACGTATGCTCAATAGTACTGATTTATATTGGGCTACAATGACTGGTTTGTACTTACTACTATACAAAATAATTTTAATAGTACGAAAGGAATAATTTCAGTTAATTAAACGTGATTATCTGTCACTACCGAAAGCTGCAACATTCGCGTAGGGAGAAATGTTTTCAATTGTTTTAGGACATTGAGGCAGCCACGATATAGAGACTAAAACATTCCCTTACGGGGGCTTCTAGAATTGTTTCAGAAAGTGTCAAGATGACGAGATAAGTGACTCTCAAAGCAAGGGGAGTATTTTGAGGGGAGATTGGTGGTGAAGCATTTTTTACTGGAAAAAAATTGTTTTTGTAAATTTAAACATTCATTATATTTTTAGCTCACATCTAGCATTATTGACTATTACCAGACCAGGAAAACATCAAAATTCAGGATTCAAAGTCTGACACCTACTCAATTCATATCACTGTCACACTACCATACAGTTGAAGAACCGTAACACAATCATAACTTCTGGACCAATGCATAGTACATTTTATTACCTATGGCTCTCATGTTGATCATTACTACATCTCTAACTTGCTCATCCCTTGAACCTGCTATTTTGTGATCTTTGACTACGTCTCTTCATTTTCTGGTGACCATTGTTTTGATTCACTATGTGTTTATTAGATCTTTACATTTCATATGTAAAGGAGATCACAGAATATTTTTCTTTCCATGTCTGGGTGATTTCACTTGGCATAATAACTGAACTGGAATTCCTAACTAATTTAAATTTGTTCAATTTTCAGTAGCTACATACAGATACTTTTTACCGAATTGGGGCAGGCAGGTGTGAAGGGGTGGTGACTGAAGGAAAAAGAAAAGTTTGGGAGATAACAAGTATTGCTGTAGCTTTTTTATTATATCAGGTATGCAAACAATTTAGATTTAAAGCATGTGAGAGGATGTGCTTAGGTTTCATGAAAATGTTCTACTTTTCAGTAAGACAATGGAGCAGCTGCAGACTGTTAGATGGACTCTAAGAACCAACACCCAGGACTGTATTTATAATAAGTCCTTCTTTTTTTTTTTTTTTTTTAGTACCAGGGATCGAACTCGGGTCCTTGTGCTTGCAAGGCAGGTGGCGGAACCACTGAGCTAAATTCCCGGCAACAAGTCTTTCTTGTTCATAGTTATTCTTTTCCCCCGAATTTTTTTTTAATAAGTCCTTTTTTTTTTTTTTTTTTTTAGTACCAGGGATCGAACTCGGGTCCTTGTGCTTGCAAGGCAGGTGGCGGAACCACTGAGCTAAATTCCCGGCAACAAGTCTTTCTTGTTCATAGTTATTCTTTTTATATTGTTATCTGCCTATTGTTTTGAAGGTTTTTCTTCTCTGTAGTGCATAAGAACTATGAAGTTGAGTAATCTTGACTGTTATTACGAAAATTATAAAACTTAGCAAAGACCTTGTCCAAATTTAGACTCGTAAATGAATGATGGAAAAATATTTTTACTCATTATAGAAATATATTGAAATATTAAAGTTTGTTTTCTGTTTGAAATTCATTCTTCCTGAATGTTTTCCAAGGTTCTGTTTTCCTGTGGTTATGAAGAAATTCCAGGAGTCTGAGGCAACATGAATTACCTCTGGGGAAGTCAAGACAGAGGAAGGAATTCCCTTGAAGTTGTGGTTTTGATGCTGCTTGTTTAGAGGTACCAGGGATTGAACCCAGGGCCTTTGCACGTAGCCGTGTCCACAGTCCTTTTTTATTTTTTATCTTGAGACAAGGTTTTGTTAAGTTGCTAAGCTACACAGTCTCGGGTGGAATTTGGAATCCTCTTGCCTCAGGCTCCGAGAGTGCTGGGATTCCAGGCATGAGGCACCATGCCCAGCTTGCTTTTGTGTTTTAACTTCGTAAGAACTAAGACCCAGAATTTAAATGAGACAGTGGTCAGAGGGGAGAAATGCTTGAAGAGAAATGTCTATGTGGATTACTGACATCGCCAACGAGCTCTAATAACAGGGTCAGAGCCCAGAGTGGCTTATCCTAATGCAACTATATACGGGGAGCGAATGGGAACCTCTGAAATGAAAATTGTGAACAAACTACCCATGACTTCACTCGACTCTCTTATGGTCACCTCAGAGAAGAGACTAGGACTATGTGGTACTTAAGAGGGACGGTTAAGGACAAAATGTCCAAGTCAGGTTTTACCATCTCAAGAGCGAGAAATAAATTTATTTTGGTGTTTGTTTGGGTTTTGGGTTTTTTTTTTTGGTATCTGGATTCAAACTCAGGTAAGGCAGGCACGGCACCTCTGAGCTGAATCCCCGGAAGTAAATTCATTTGGAAAACAATGTAATTCATTTTTTTCCCAGTTAGTGCTGTGGGCTGTGATAGGTCCAAAGCATGCACTATCCAGTACTCACACAAAGCACTATCCAGTACTCACTCCACCGTCAGTTGTGAGACACACAGTGCTGGGGCTGCAAGCAGCAAGATGTGACTCATCCCAGTGAGCCCGACTTCAGGGATCTGGGAGGTTGGTCCAGCGTCCAGACTTTGCAAAACATAGCTGAACTGTGATCGTTTTTCTTTAGGGGCATAGTCTTCCCCAAATTAGACAACAAAAATTCGGACTTAGCCGGGCGTGGCGGCGCATGCCTGTAATCCCAGCACTCGGGAGGCTTTGGCAGGAGGATCGCTGTGAGTTTGAGACCAGCTTGAGCTACATAGTGAGTTCCAGGTCAGTCTCAACTACATAGTAATACCCTGTCTCAAAAAACCAAAAACCAAAAAAAAAAAAAAAAATTTGGATGTATGATGTTCCTGTAGCACCCAGTCAGGGAGGGGTGAGCTCTGTGCCTGCAGCCATTCACAGAAACAATGATCACATGTGCTTTATCACCCGCTGCAGGGCCCACTTCACTTAGTATAGGTTAGAATCATCTGGGGGCTTCTAAACATTGCCTTTGACCTCCCACCTGGGCCAGAGAGGCTCAGATTCGCTTGGCTCCCTGCCTGGCTGTACATCCTGAGGTCAGGAGCCCATAGCATTAGCACCACCTGAGTGGGCTCGAGTCAGTAATCCGGACTCAGCCAGCCAGGCCAGTCCTGGAGAATCAGAATGGTCATTGTAACCTCATCTCCAGTAACAATGTGCACTGATATTTCAGAGTCCACTTTTTATGTCAGTGCTGCCTAAAGACACGTAACACCATCCACATGTGAATTCTAAGTGTTTTGGAACATGTCTTTTAAAAAGTAAAAGTACTGGGCCAGGGGTTAAATTCAGTGGTTCCGCCGCCTGCCTCACAAGCACAAGGACCCGAGTTCGATCCCCGGTACAAAACAAAAACAAAACAAAAGGAAACTTATTTAGCCCTGTATGTCCAAAATCATCATCATTTACACACATGAACGAAGCCCAATTTCTAGTGCTCAAAAGTCACTGATGGCTACCATATGAGACAACAGAGAATAAAGCATCCCCTAAATGTTATAGGGCCTTAAAAAATTCCAGGTGGTTCTAATCTATAATCAGACATAAGGAAAAGTTTTGCTCACAGAGTAGACAAGTAACTCCAAAATTCAGCTAATGCCCACAGTTCACAAGAAGCTTCTGAAATGGTTTTTTTTTTTTTCACTGAGTTTATTGGTGCATTTTAGGTATACAGTACAGTTACCTTCATCATTGGGATCTTGTACCTTTACATGACAGGTCTTGGTTCTCATTTTTTTCTTCTTACCCCTGCCCTCCCTTCACCCCCTCCTCCCTTCCCTGTTTACAAAGACTTTTATTTCCATTTTTTCATTTTCTATAGTTTTTTTTTTCTAGGACTATTCGTGGGCTGAGAACAGGCTGTACAGATTTCTGAGTTGGGAACCATGCAAAATTACATGGCCCTGGACCGTGGATGTAGTAACAATATCCCTTGGGAGTCTTTCATCTCTATACTCATGGAAGTATTGGGGCCTACTACGTTCAGCACTACTAACAGGTAATAAAATACAGCATGAACGCACCTATAAGAGTCTCACGGGTTGAGCTTCTGATGTTAGAAATACTAGTTGGAACGAAGACAGGCTCTTCCTTGGGTGTTCATGTGATATGGTAAAGGGGCCCAGGCATAGATGGCGGTGGCGGGCACATGTTACTCTTTAACATCTGCAAATGGAGCTTTTCCCATGCTGCCCGTCCTTCTTAATTGCATCATATTTTTGATTAACTCCACCATCAATGAGACTTTTTTTTCACTAATGTCATGGAGAAATCACACAAGAAGATGCTCTTTCTTAAATGTTATGTGTGTTTGTAAGATGTGGCATTGGGCTGTAGGGAAACGCAGAAGCGCAAGACGGCGGTACTTTGGTTCAGGCCATGGGGTGAAGGTGACCTGGGAGGCAGCGGGATCTGTGTCAACACGACCCGAGTGCAGGTGCGTCTCCAGGTACCCGATGTAAATAACTTCTGTAGCCAAGGTCACTACTGGCACGTGGCTAGCTTTGGGCATTTTGGTATAAATGCAGAATAAGCGGACAGGGACAGCTGCCCGGAGGGGAGACCAAGCAGCCCACACCCCGGAAAGTGTACAGTGCTGGGGCTGCAAGAGCTGATAAGCAGATGGACGGCAGCTGAGCCGCGGAAGGAGGACGCTGCATCGAGTCCCCAGTTCTGTGTCTCTTCATGGGGTGGTCTGAATCTCAAGTCAACCTCCCCAGTGTGAACTGGTGACAAGACCACAGGCTAGAAACTTCTCAAAATATTCAGCATCAAAATCTCTACGAAGGAAGCTAATTTCAAATTGGTTTTACTGAAAGTAACATCTTTTATTTCAATCAAGGAAATTTACCCAAATCTCTCCTATTGATTATCCTCGGATCCCATTCACTTACTCAAAAGAGTTCTTTTCTCTATGATTTTGAAAATCCATGTTTAGAATTTTTACAATACAAAAATGATTCCCCTGCAATTAGGCAGCCTTAGAAGCTTTTATTTTACTATTTATTACAGAAACAAAGCCAAAAAATATCTTCAGCATATTGTTTCTCTTACATTTCAACATAAATTGAGATGTATTTCTGTGAAAGAAAATACAGCCCTTGTGATCTTTAAACAAATCATAGGCGAACAGATTTCAGGAATCAGAGTTAGCCATGGTGCAGGAGGTAGAGGGGACTGGACTACATTTAGCTGAGTAATCGTCTTATTCACTCACCGCAGCACTGATATGCTGGTGTTGGCTGGATACTCATCATTTCATACCCAAACCAGAAGCGCTCCCAGCTCTCGGGCTCTACTGTCTCAATGAGGCAGACTGAAGAACACACAGCTCTACCCAAAATAACCATTAATAGTTTAGCAGGTCCTTTCACATTACCTTTGTCCCTTGAATTGAATCTTCCATAGGTCTTGGGGAACTTAGGGAGTTTGTAATTTCACTGACTCTTGCTCATAGAGAATTGATCCCTAACATGTTTTCTCTTTACTTATTTTTTTTAAATCTCATCACGAGCAGGGCTTGTAGTCCTTTGGTTACACCTGATGGGCTGGGCTGTAGAAATGACCAAGCCTAGTAGTTTGATTTGACCTCCACTGGACTCCATCCCAAAGGTCCTTCAGCCAAGAGTTGCATTTCTGTTCATTTCTTGAGTTTGGAAATTTTCATTAAGGAGAAGAAAAAAATGAGGGTCCCGGTTCTCTTGAGGGTCTGGCTTGAGTTTTTCTTACAAAATTTTTCAAATTGAGCTTTTGACAGAGGCAGCTGCCTGCCTGCCTTCTCCTAGGACAGTGGTAAATCTGGCCTTGCCTGATATCTCAGGGAGGCTCAAGTTCCTGAACTCCTGTCTCCCGTACTCATAGGAAACTATTTCAGAATCCCACATCCTGTCCGCAAACCTGTGTTATCAACAAGGCCTCAAGGGACGGGGCCAATCTGCTCTGACCCGAAGGTGATGACACCAGCACGTGCAAAGTGAGCCTTTGATATCAGCCTCGGTATGGGCCTGGATACCAGTGTAGCCCCCATTCGAACGAACACTTACCTTCACATAAGTTAGCAACACTCCATGTGTCTCCAGGGGTTTTCTCTGGTTGTGCAGAGCAGGTTCTACAGTGCTGCGTCATCCAGAATTTTGTATCTGCCGTGAAATGGAATCTGATTCTGCCAGTGTTCCCACCTAGAACTGCTCGAGCTGAAGGCCCAAGGGAAAGCTTTAGCTAAATTCACTCTGTCTGTAGCAGAATGGCATAACTTGGGGAAAAAGGTCATCGATAAATGACAAAATAAATTATACGTCTCAATAGAACCCGGTGTTCGGTGTGAACATTATTGGAGTGCGTGGTCCTGTGGGAGCTGAGATTAGACTGTTAGAGGGAGAAGAAATTATGACATTGAATATGAGAACAAGTAGCCTTGAAAGAGCCACAGAGATAGATGTTAGCTAGTTTAGGTTTGTTTATTCACTTACTGTGGGGCTGAGGATGAAACCCAGGGCCCCATAAAAGCTAGGCAAGCTCTCTACCACTGAGCTACCTCCACCAGCCACACGTAGCCCTCAGGCCTCAAGAATCACTCGGCTCTATAGAATCATTGCTTTTTTAAAAAAAGATTGATTTTTAAAATTGGGACGTGCTTGTAATAGATAATGATTGCATTAATATGGACAGCTGGTACATGTATATGACATTTCTCAATTGTTTTTAATTCCCTGCCATATATATATGTATATAATTTTAATAGACATGTGTGTCTCGTTTATTTCACTTAACATTATGTTCTCACGTTGGAACCATGTTCCTATATAAATGACTCAAGCTTGTCCTTCTTTATGGCAGAGTGGTACTTCATTGTGTGTAAATTCCACATTTTCTTTATCCATTCGTCTGTTAATAGATACCTAGGCTCCTTCCAAGATTTAGCTAGCTATAAATCGTTCTGGTATAAACATGAGTTTGCATGTTTTACTGTAATATGACGTCTTTAATTCTTTGGGGAGGATCCCTAAATGAGGAATGGCTGGGTCAAATGGAATTCCTATTGTTTGAGAAATCTCCATATTTACTTCCATGCCAACAGTGAAGAAAGATTCCTTTTTTGGTGCAGCCTCCTCAGCTTTTGTTATTATTTGATTTCTTAAAAATAGCCATTCTTTCCAGAGTGAGATGGAATCTTAATGTTGTTTTAATTTGCATTTCTTGAATGGTCAATGATGTTGAATCATTTCTTCATGTATTTATTGGCCATTTGTACTTCTTCATCTGAGAACCATATACTGATGTCAGATCCCTGTTCTTTTACTGGATCTTTAGATTTGGGGGAATCTAATTGTTTTCAAGTGTTTTATAAGTAATAGATATTAGTCCTTTGTCTAAGGAGTAGCTGGCAACTCCCCCCGCCCCATTTTATGGGTCGCCCCTTTACGCTGCTAGTGGTTTCCTTTGCTGTTTTTGAAGCTTTTTAATCTGAGGTGATCCCATTTGTCAGTTCTTGTTATTATTTCATGTGCAGCCAGAGTTCTGTTTAGAAAGTGTTTGTGCCTATGTCTTCAGGAGTTTTGTCTATTTTTTTCTTCCAGCAGATTATTCGTGTTTTAATATTTAGATCTGCATCCAAGAGTGGTAAAGTGCAGAACAAAGTTGATTTCAAGTGTGGCAAACGCAGGAAAGCAGATCTATCTTAGCAGCAGAGGGAGATGCAAGGTAGGTGGCACTCGCTTGAGATGCCCGATGAGTATGAGATGTAGGCTGTGCTACTCAGAGTCTTAGCCTTTGTTTCTAAAAAGAGAGCAAAGGTCAGTTGAGAATTTCTATTTTTTTTTTTTTCTTTTTTGGTACCGGGGATCCAACTCGGGACCTTGCACTTGCGAGGCAGGTGGCAGCACCACTGATCTAAATCCCTGGCCCAGTTGATGATTTCTTAAGCATGCAGTGTGAGTAACATTTTCATAAAGGATACGGGAGGGTACATTTTTTTTCAAGCATAGGTATGTGATAAGCATGTGATGATCATATAATCATCAGCCACGGACAAGCACGTGGTGATTTTACACTATTAGTCATCGTGCTTTGCCCTGGGCTGTTCTTCATGCTCCTCTTGTTTGCCCCTACAGATCCAGCCTTCGCTTCCACGAGTGTGCAGTGGTAGTGTGACCTTGTTTGTAATCCATGAAACACCTTTATTCTCATCCAATTTCTAGACCCCGGGAGACCAAAAGTGGATTAGCCTTCATGACTAATTCTTTATCTCTCCTTTATCTTCCATGATGAAATAGATGGTGAAAAGAAGAAAAGATTTCCTTGACGTCATCTTTTGCTTCTGCCCTTGGTATTTGTGTAATCCGGGGGGCAAAGGGCTCTGTGACAGGAAATCTACTACACGCTAAACCTGGGGTGTGACCATGTGAGCGCAGATTAAATGTATTTAGGAAGTAAGAAGAGGGAGACAAGAATACTGATGGGTACAAATTCAAAGTCATCCTCCAGCCATAGGAAGGAGTAAACAACTACCCGAAACAAATCAAAGAGGAAGCTGCAATGGAACGTTTCAACAAGTCTCATGACCTTGACAAATCTCTTTTAAAACTGTCAAGAGAAAAACATCTGAGTCATGCTGGGAGGAAGAATGTATGGGTCTGAGCTTGGCGTTGTTTTCTTTCAGGGCTTGAAACATTTCTCTCCAAGTTCTCCCAGACTTTGAAGTTCATGTTGAGAAGTCTGCTGTCATTTTAATGAAATTACCTTTATAACTGACTTGTTGCTTCTTTCTTAGAACTTTTAAGATTCTGTTCCTGTGTCAGACATCTGGGAATTTTACTATGATGTGCTTTGGAGAAGTTATTTCCTCATCGTGGCTGTTTCTAGTTCTATATGCCTCACTTAGCTAAGTGAAATCATTTCTCCATAATTGGAAAGTTTTCTGTTTTGTACTGAAACCTGGTACACTGTGACTAACATCACAACTTTCCCCTTCCCTGCTTTATTGCTTCCCAGCACCTGGAATGACCATTATGACCATTCTACTTTGTCTGTGACTTCCGGTGTGGTTTGTTTGTTTGGTTTGTACTGGGGATCGAACTCGGGTCCTTGCACTTGAGAGGCAGGCGACAGAACCACTGAGCCAAATCCCCGGCTCAACTTCTGGTCTTTTAAAACCCAAATGCAATTGATATCATGCAGTGCTTATCTATATGTGCCTAGCTCATTACCCTAGGGTAAGAGTCCTGTATTTTTATCATAGGGTTTATATTTCTCTGAAGATTTCATTAGATTTTATGTTTATACATCTGGTCATAGAGATGCGTGTTTTCCTTTGCTTTCTTGGTTTTCGTCCCCCTATCCCATGAACATAATAAAATGGACATGGCTTTTCTTAACCAAGTAGCACACGAGGACAGCGCGACTAGGAAAGCATTTCTCCCTCTTCATTTTCTGAAAGTACTTTTTTTTTTTTTTT